AAATTGTGAAATGGACCAGCTAAATTGCAAATAGTCTAGCACTCATTTGCAATGCAGTACACAAACAGTGTAGCTTTGCATCAAATGACTCAGGTTAATACGGAGTAGCACAGCGCACGCACAAACGGTATAGCTTTGGGTAAAATGGCTCAGCATAATGTCGAATCAGTAGTACAGCGTACATACAAACAATGTAGCTTTGCGTGAAAAGGCTCAGCGTAATGTGGAATGGTACAGCGTACACACAAATGGTGTAGCGTTGTGCGAAATGGCTCAGCGTTATGTCCAATGGTACAGCGTACATACAAACAAGGTAGCTTTGCGTGAAAACTTACCCAAATTGGCTATGCTTTACGGCAAGGCGAAGTGAAGGCTCTTCAACACAGCGACTACAATACGTGATGGTTCCGGTTCGCGCCATTCTCCACACTCGATGTCGTCATGCCCCCCAGTAGATCGCTGTTCCACTTGCGGTGTGTGTTTTTGATGGTTTCGGCGAGATAGCGTAATGTAGAATGGTACAGCGTACATGCAAACAGTGTAGCGTTGCGTGAAATGGCTCAGCGTGATGTCGCATAGCACAGCGTACACACGAATGGTGTAGCGTTTCGTCGAATAGCTTTGCAGAACATCAGACGCTCCCGCTGAACATTAAATTGCTCAGCATTACATAAAATATTTCGATGTTGTGGCAAATCTTCGAGCTTGCTTGCGGCGTGACGTGAAGGCTGAGCTATTTAAAGCAACGCTAAACCGTTTGTGTGTACGCTGTAGCATTTGACATTGCGCTGAGCTATTTCACGCAACACTACGCTGTTTGTATATACGCGGTACCTTTTGGCATTATGCTGAGCCATTTCCCACAACGCTACACCATTTGTGTGTACGCTGTACCACTCTACATTACGCTGAGCCTCTCCACGCAAAGCTACATTGTTTGTATGTACGCTGTGCCACTGATTCGACATTATGCTGAGCCATTTCACCCAAAGCTACACCGTTTGTACGTACGCTGTGCTACTCCGTATTAACCTGAGTCATTTGACGCAAAGCTACACCGTTTGTGTACTGTATTGCAAATGAGTGCTAGACTATTCGCAATTTAGCTGGTCCATTTCACAATTTCATGTTTCAACTCGACATGGGCAACTGGACCGTTTATAATTTGGCTAAACGATTTGTGTGTAGGGTGTTCTGTTTCATGAAGGAAACCTAGACTGTCTATAATTTGGCCATGTCATTCCTTTATTAGTTATGCTATCCTGCAGCTGATCCTTAAACCATCTTTGTATTTACTGATCTATTTAACGTCCTTGTACTTTTGGTGATGACGGCCGCCCATACCCGTGGGACCTCCACGTCAGCGGCCAGAGAGGCTGGCGTCCCCTTGGACCCTATCCTGGAGACAGCACACTGGTCTTCGGAGTCGACGTTTTCAAAATTTTACTACAGGCCTTCTTCGTCAGCCGTCAGTCGTGCCGCTCTCGGAATTGAAGGTATGCTTTAAAGTCACCTTGTGATATCTAACTTGTATCCGAAGTATAATTAAGGTTTTCCAAGGACTCTTTAGAGTCTGATGTAAAACCAAAGTTATACGAGGATGCAAGTTAGATATCACAACCCCTGCCCTCCCAGCCCAGGATTCATTCCTCGAGGTGAGGAATGTTGTTTTTCTTCCTCTACTGAGTGAAGCTCTCTCTTCTTGTTTTCTTTCAGATGTTTCAATAGACTGCGTAAACAGAATTGAGCTGTTATTGGTTTTGTCCAATAAAATGTTCTTGAATTATTTATGGCCTCTTATTCCTAACTTTCTCATTCCACTAATCCTCACTTTCCTGTATGTGTGGCAAAATTTCCGATCTGATTCATTGAACACTCGTGGCCAAGGTCAAGGTCTAGGGCTCGTCGATGATTGGTTAGTTTCAGAGACCCACGCCTATTGGCTCATTTGTTGGCGCTTCTGCTTTGCAGAGATTTTTCTATGAAATTTGTGTTTTTACCTCGTATCGAAGATCAACACCTTGTGATATCTAACTTGCATCCTCGTATAACTTGGGTTTTACATCAGACTCTAAAGAGTCCTTGGAAAACCTTAATTTAGATGATTATTTAAATGTTGATTTGCCTTTTTCTTTCTTATCTTTAGCCAAGGAATATACCAAATGAAGCTGAACCATGCAAGCTTTATTTTGTTTATCGGGTCGCGAATCTCGCGTATCCAAAAATTCCTCTCTAGTACCAGAAAGTAGAGCTGTTTGCAACTATCTTGATTCTTGATTGACTAGAGCGATATAACTCAGATAAGAATGCTTAGTGTTCTCGAACATGGAAAATATCGATAACTATCAAAATTCTCATGCCCCGTCCTGGCTTGACTGCGATAGAAGGCCCCCACTTGTGGTAGAGATTTTTTCCGCATGAACTGATGGCCTTGTTTTTAAACGTATGTAATTACGTCCGAGGCAACAAAGAGAGCCGCAATCTAATTTTAGCGTATGGTACGCAAAAGAAATACAACATTCTAACAGCCTTAATGCGATCGGGTTAACATCCTCACCTGGATTTAATTTTTACACCCATTCTGATACTTTCACAGTTTCCAGCGTCGTTCGTCTTGGTTTTCACGTGACTTTTTCGTAATTATAAAAAAAAACAGGGAAGCAAGGTGGAGCAAGCAATCTTCTTTTGAGATTTTAGTCTAGTTAGTTATTCGAACAGCTGAAGACTTATCTTTTATAAATTTTCAGTTTGATAGGGTTTTCGTTTGATGATAACGCAGGTTGAATTTCTAAGCTTTTGTGTGACACTTTATTAAAATGGTGCTTCAGTACTATGTGGACCGTGTAACACATGCAAAAAATAGCGCAAACTGAAGAGCAAACCTTTTAAGTCATAAAAACATAATTAAGCATTATATTTTTCAAAAATAGCTCAAATACTTGTCTCATAACTGCGTTAGTAACCTTCAAGGTATATATTGCATTTTAAGGAAGCATTTCATTAAGCAATGATAAATGACATGTTTCCTTCTTGATAGGTTAAACTTTCGATATTTTCGAAACTTAAACATTGTTATCAAACAAACAAACAAACTGAAGAGCAAAACCTTTACAGTTGCGACTTCATAACTATCGACAGAGGTACTAATCAATGACATAATTAGGATTAGAAACACAGACGTCAGGGGACATTCTTAAACCCATTGATTATAGAAATTTTGTTTTTTTAGAGCCACAGTAACTAATTATGAGCCATTGACATAATTAAGTGGGATTTTTTTTTGTCCTAAACTGAATTTTCCCGTAATTTACGTGCAGTACTGCATTATTTGAATTCCAAAGAACATCGCTCTTGTTTGAGGCTAAGGCTTAAAAAAAAAGAATGTTCCGATACACACAAGAAGTTGGAGTGTTCTAATGTGGCTGTTGATAGAGATTACCCATGCAGTGGTTACCAATAGGGTTAAAACTGACTAACACATGTAAAGAAACGATAAAAAAAAAAAACAACAACAACAACAGCTGTCGTGACTTCATAACTAAACAGAGTTAGTATTAATTGAAAATATAGGATTAAAAACAGACGTACACCGCTCTTGTTTGAAACTAAGGCTAAGACAGAAACAGGATTAAAAATACAGATGCCACGAGTGCATTAAAAATACCAGGACCACATTCTTGACTATAACAATTTTTCTTTGTTGGGCGTCCGACTGTTACATTTAGTGCCGTCAAAAATTTCAATACAATATTAAATTTTTTAATCAACAAAAAAATATGAATTGCATTTTGACCCACTTACGCGTACCCAACAACTAATCTTTTCTTTAAAACAATACCGTTCCAAATGTTGTAAGGGCAAACAACATATGCGGAGCTTTGCAGACCCGATCTTTCTTGTCCTCAGTATAATATGCTCAAAGTGCGAGCAAAATTATAGCCATAAATAGCTTTCAGAACAGCTATGGAAATCCATAATTACCTTTGTCATAACCTAGTTATGTTACAGCTCGTGCTATGAGCTCCTAGTTGAATACATACATGTGACCCATTTAACAAATGGTAAACACCACAGCGTACACTCAAGAAGCTGTAGTCGCTCTCAGCTATCGCCTCGCGCGATTTCTACGCTTCTTTCGTGCTTAGAAAACCTCCCAAGTGCATCCATAACTCAATAGAGTACGCTGTGGTGTTTACCATTTGTTTTATAATCCAACATCGATGCATTGTAGCAATAGAATTCCCTTTTAGTGGACCAAAAACTTTCGTGTTGTATTACATGATCAGACAAAACAAACGTGCGAAAACTGGGCATTGCGCAAATGCAGCGCCGGTTCACGCGTCAGCCCTCAATAATACGTAGTTAGTTATCAAACTGAATTTATTAAAGCTATATAAACTAATTCAGCGAATATTTCTAGCTGAAATTGTAGTAAAGCATGAGTAAATGCAAGTTTTTTTCTTACTGGTATATTTCATATCCGATTGGAACACCCCTATATAAACATCTCCCCCTAAGCCCCCCTCACCGGGTCC